GCGAATTAAACAAATTTTTAATTTTCTGGACACCATACGTATGTCATATATGTACAAAACAGTTGAGGACCTCATACTGACCCTTGTGGGACCCCAACAGTTATGTCTAGGCATGATGATCTGTGATGACCCACTTTCACAAACTGCTGCCCTCTAATACTATATCTTTCCAGTTTTTTGAGTAGTATGTCATGGTTTATGGTGTCAAATGCCTTTTTAAAATCTAGAAAAACTCCTATAACATAATTGTTGTTATCAATACAAACAGTAATTTCCTTGGTTAATTTCATTAATATTAATGCAATTGATGTCGATTTATTTGCTCTAAACCCGTATTGACTGTCTGAGAGTAAATGACACTAATTACATTGTTGTGGCAATGTAATTGCTGCCTTGATTATGTTCAGAGACTTTTCTTTTAGGTAATGAAACACTACCTTCATGTACAGCATAGGCTTAACAAGGACATGTTTGGGGAGGATGGCGGGCATACAAAGTTCAGGTTCAAGATGTGACTTTAGTCAGGCTCAATATTAATAAAAAAAGATAACAAAAAACAAAACAAACAATGGATACTGCATTGCAAAATTGCCTATAGCTGAAATATGCTGTTAGTTAACATTTTACTGATAAGTTCAGAATCAACATTTTTGCAGCTTGCCAGGTACGTAATCAGCAAAATTCCCTCATTTGGTTAAAAGAAAACATAATTTGCTGAGCATTCCCTCAAAATGTGGGTCATCAACCTAACATGAGTTCCACTGAAAGTCTGCCCAATTTGAAGAAATTTCCTCAAGGTTCTCTGGAGAGATTGCGATATACTTGAGATTCTCGCTTGCTTTACAGGAAAGAGGCTTTCAAATGATTTTCCAGCTTAAGTCATTCAGTGGAGACAATATGGTGTACTGCAACGAATGTGAAGAGAAAACAGAGGCGACCACTGTGAGTTTGCAAAAATTAACTGTAGCTTGAACAAAGTTTATACTGGAATCAAATAAAGACCTTATATGTTTGTTTAATTTAAATTTTCTTGTGTTATTTAGGGATGTGAGATGGTGAAATATCCTCAGATTCTGACTCTACTCCTCAAGAGGTTTGACTTTGACTACAGCACCATGTCATATTTCAAATCACACCGCTCTGTCGACGTGCCACGAACGTTACAGAGAAAGGCAAGGGGAGGTAACTTTAAATTTCTTCTGTTTGCTTTTAAAATCTTCATATACATAACAGTGTTCTTTACTGTAGAACAACAAGTACAGACTGTATGGGATGGTGAATCACATGGGCAGTCTAGCAGGAGGACATTACACAGCCACCATCCTGTCCCATGAGGACAACACCTGGTATGAGTTTAATGACGATCGAGTCAGCAAGGTGAGAATTAATTTACTACAACCCTTAGCATGGCATTTACTCAGAACATTCCAAAAATGAGATATTGAATGGCTATTTGTTGAGTGTTCCTCTTGTTTTTGTTGAATGGTGCAGGTTGAAGAGCAACCCTTTGTACAAAACAGGACTTACAAGTATGTCTGATTAATTCTACTATATCAAGTCTGACATAATTGACAAAACAATCTTACTATATAAAGTAGTTATGCCAGAGCTTTGATGCTGTCTCACAATCTTCATCAGCAGATAATTTGCCCAGTTTTCATGAAATTGTAGTTTTCCCTTTTTTTGGAGCACTTTAAGGATTTCTCTTTAAGCTGGTATGAAGTAGCCATTAAAATAGTTGAGAGGATCATGTTATATGATTAAAAACCACAGTTCATCTTCTAAATGGACCTACTGTTGTCCAGGTCAGGAATAAACATCTAATCTTAAATCTGAGATATATTCTACTATTCATCTGGGAATGTTTATTGTATGGTCTCAACTTTGTTTTTCTGATTAAACAATTAGTTCCAGCACTGCATATCTGCTCATGTACAGAGGTAAGATCTCAAAAGGAGCAACATCAAGAGTTTCTTGAAGCATTTACCAGCTAATTACCGTAATCAATATATTTATTTTCCTCCATTTTAAAGCCTCAAATGTGAGCGACAGGGGGAAAGAACGACAGGATGTGGATGAACAAAGGGAACAAAAAAGAAAAAGGGAAGCTGATGAGAGAGAAAACAGGCGCCTGGAACAAAATCAAGAGAGTCGAAGACCGACGAAAAAAGCTGTGAAGCAAGCAGCAGTCAGTCTTCAGGTTCAACAAGAAAGTTTAATCTTGGACATGAAGAAAGTAGACGCTCTCCTCCATCCTGAACAAAACACGAGGTACCCAAGTAAACAACGCCCAATTGATCACACAACAGCAGAAAGGAGGAAACAAAGCCACCAAGTTGAGAAAGGTGAGATGAAAAAGGGGTACACAGTTTATTTGCTTGTGTTTCAATACATTTTAGTTCAAGTATTTGTCTGAGGAAAATGACTTATGTCTTATTTTCCCATCAGGTGAGAACTGTCTGCAACCCTGCAGGAATCCAACTGACATCAAGAGGAAAGCTCTTGTCAAGAGGTTGTTGAAGCATTTACCAGCTAATTACTGTAATCAATATATTTATTTTTCCTCTATTTTAAAGCCTCAAGTGTGAGAGACAGGGGGAAAGAACGTCAGGATGTGGATGAACAAAGGGAACAAAAAAGAAAAAGGGAAGCTGGTGAGAGAGAAAACAGGTTCCTGTAACAAAATCAAGAGAGTCGAAGACCAATGAAAAAAGCTGTGAAGAAAGAAGCAGTCAGTCTTCAGGTTCAAAAAGAAAGTTTAATCTTGGACATAAAGGAAGAAGATGCTCTCCTCCATCCCGAACAAAACACGAGGTACCCAAGTAAACAACGCCCGGTTGATCACACAACAGCAGAAAGGAGGAAACAAAGGCTCCAAGTTGAGAAAGGTGAGGTGAAAAAGGGTAAAAAGCCTTCTCTTCCTGCTTTTAATGCATTTTAGTTCAAGCATTTGTCTAAGGAAAATAACTTATGTCTTACTTTACTTTACTTTACTCAGGTGAGAACTGTCCGCAACCCTGCAGGAATCCAACTGGCATCCATAAGAAAGCTCTTTTGATTTCTCTCATCAGTATTATTGGTGCATTAATTGTGATAGTTCCTGTTTTAGTCATGACTCTGAAGAAATCTTAGCATACAGATGATTTATGTGAGCACTGAACACGGGTTCAGAAATGTCAACCAGCAACTTGCTGTTCAGGTGAAATTTTAGAAAAACTAGTTTACATTCTTAAACATTTGAACATGCTTAAAAGACTTTATTCAGTATAGATTCCGCAAAATTCACTCTGCATACATTGCCCTTTTACAGCTGGTAGATTGGGCCCATACTGATAGAAAATAAGGAGTTTGCATGTGGTATTTTCATGGATCTCTCCAAAGTATTTGATGCTGTCTGAGAGAGCTGTGATACAGTGTGGGGTACCACAAGGGTCCATTTTAGGACCCCTTTTGTTTCTAATTTATATAAATGATCTATAATGCCAATATTATTTGCTGATAATATTAATTATTTCAAATAAAAATCTGTTGAATGAAGTTAACAGTGGCCTTCTTGCATATCCAAAATGGTTTCAAACAAACAGGCATTGAATGTAAAAATGTCTAATTTTATGATATTTGCAGGGAGGATAAATTACAAATTGCAATTAGCAAAATTATGTTTTGATGGTGAAGAAATTTTTAAAGAAACATCAAAAAGATTTCTTGGAGTTTTAATCAATGAGAAACTCACTTGGAAAGATCAAATTAATTTTGTTTGCAACAAGGTCATAAAATCTCTGGGAATTATTTAAAAAAATTGTGCTTTGTTACATTCATCTTTTTTTTAACATTTTATGACTGTTATAATCTATAGTCTAATATCCATATCCATATCTTGCTTACCGTCATATTGTCTGGGCAAGCATTGATCCCACATACCTTCATACCTTCTTAACGTTAACGTCCTTCAAATATGTACTTTTATTTTCAAAGTGAAGTATATAAACACTGATTTACCAGAAAGCTTTAATTATTTTTTACGACAGTATTCATTGAGATACCGTGGAGCCCAACTGTGGAACATGAACATGAACTGCCGTACTATAACTTGCTGATTAAACCTTTATGCTTCCTGAGTTATAAACATCAATAAATATATGAGTGACAGCTGGTGGTTCTCTTGGATTAGTACATTTTACCTTTTTACTGAAATAATCACAGAGCTGTAAATAGCTGTAAAAGTCCTGCCCACTCAGACCATGTTTGACATAGATTATCGAAACTTTAAAGCTCCCAGCTTTTTGTGATTTATTGCAGACATCAAATTCAGAATGAGTGTATTTCTTGCAAAAACAATAAAGTTTATGAGTTTAAATATTAAATTTTTTTGTCTTTCTACTGTATTCAACTGACTATAGGTCAAAAAAAGATTAGCAAATCATTGCCTTTGGTTCTTATTAACATTTTACAGCGTTCCAACTTTTTCTGAAATTTGGAATTTGGTTTGTTCTTTAAACCAAGTAATTTTATGCTGTGGTTTTGCTGCTTTAACACAAGTGATCTGAATTTATTGAAACCATTAGTACATTTTTATTTATCTTAATTTCACAGGAAACATAATGTGACATTAGGAGAATAAAGACGTAATCACAAAAAACAATGATAAATCATAGAAATTAACAAATTTAATGAAGATACTGGAGAGATTAGAATAAATACAGACTGTAACACTGAGGTGAAAGTAAACATGACTTACATAAACAGAGTAAACATAGTTTAAAATATGACTGTAAATATTAATTACAATCTTGAGTTTGATGAAGGAATGATCTGTGTGAATTTTTGTAGAGTGGAAAAAAGAATTTAAGTCTCATGTTGTGTGAATGTTGCAAATTATAACTACAAAAACAATTTTTGGCCCGAACTGTTATATAAAGCTGTTATGGGATTACATTTGTGTCTCAGCAACAGAAAAAGGAAAATAAAATAAAATACAAAAGGTGTAAGTTTACACAGAGTTATGTCCTCTGCCACACAGGTATAGCGGTCTGTCTTGGTGCTACACCACTGGAGCAAAGGTCATATGGCTTTTTCTTCAGGCACTCTTGAGTGAACTGCAGACACACATAACAGAACTTCACCTTACACCGGGGACAGACCATGGTTTTACATTGTCTTTTGTTATGCTCCACCAGAACACCACAGGTGGGACAGGCACGGATGGAGGGACAGCCAGTGACCCCCTTCACTGACTCAAAGATGATATCAGGACAGTTTCTCAGCGTCTCTAGTGGCTGACTGATGCAGCCATCATTTTCACAGTGGTCTAAACGTACAGCTGGAGTTTTCACCTCCCTCAAACACTGCCAGCAGAATAGATAAATCTTTTTTTTCTCCGCTGTGCACAGTGTGCAGCACACACTCAAATTGTGTAGATCAGTTCTCACCACACGACACTTGCAGCCAGGACACTGTTAGAGAATATGAAAAATAGATGTCTTTAAATTTATCCTTGTATTTGTATTTTTTAAGAGCAGTTGGTAAATAGTGTAGCCTAATTGAGATACTTACGAATTTGACATCCAAGTAGTTCTTAGCAGCGTTGCTGAACATTTTCTTTTCAAAGTAATCCCTTTCTTCAGGGGTCAGAAGAGCCATTTTACAAACTTCTTCATACGTCCACTCGACATCACAGCCAGTCTGGCCACACACAAATCTGCACTCACCCTTAAAAAGTATAAAGAAAATCAAAGAAAAACCCTTTAAGAGTGAAAGAATGAGCAAATTCTTTGAGCAACTTTGCTTACAATTCACTACGATTAACCAGCATCACATCAATTTGACCCGTCACTAAGCCCTGCCCCTTTGTGATGGTCCGTCAGCCTGTTGGAGCTAGCATCGAGCTCACACTGTAACTAACTGCACTCCCTGAGGAAATATAATCTAATTTTGGGAGGATGAAAAAGCAAGAAGCAGCAAAAACAGGTCAAAAAGTTTAAATCAGAAGCCAAAGCCTAACGTACAGATCACAGTGTAAAAGTGAACCACCTGGTGACTGGAAAAGAAGAAAATGCAAAAATGAGAACAAAGGGAAACATTACTGAAATTCAACTAGCTGTGTGTAGCTATATGTCATCGCAGTGTGTGCAGATGAACAGTGTTTTCTCCCCCCAAGCTGCCAGCGCCTGGACCTCTGCCGGCTGATGGGCGGGGAGCTCTGGGGGAGGCCAAACACCGTTCACCTACACACACTGTGATGACACACAGCTGGTTGAATGTCGACAAAGTTTCCCTGCTTCCCTTCACTGGTTCCTGTACAGCAGGGTCAGTCTTTATCCACTATTATAATCATTAAAAAGCAAAAGCAGCATGTGTTATTCAGTAGGTGGTGGCATGCTTGGTATGGGTATGTTACCAAGGAGGAAGTGAATCTTTCCTATATATTCCAATGGCTTTTTGTGGGTATACCCTGTGTACCTGCGTATACCCTCCACTACACCACAGGATACACCTTCAGTAGCTAAGTTAGCTACCTAGCTACCATTAGCTGGCTAACCCTGAATTTTTCAGGAATCCATTTTGGTTTTGGAACGGAAAAGAAACATTTATGTCCTTCCAGCCTCTGTAGGTAACAGGTATCATTATTACATGTGTCCCAAACACAACGTTGGTTGAGCTCGAAAGTCTGAAGGTGAAAGTCTAAAACAACTGCATGAGAGTCTACGGAGCACAGCTATAAATATAGGCCTACCTCTTCTAGCAAATAGAGACACCAGATGGTGAGAGACATCGGAGTGACAGCATGACCGCAGGACATCTTTGCTCTCAGAGACTTGAAGTCATGACACAAAACTATGAGACACACACACACAAGAAAAAATGTGCAGTGTTACAGGGTACAATTAGGAACTTGAAATCCAACAGTAGGCAACAATATAGCTTTGTAAATGTAAAACTTTGCTGCTTACAATCCATTTCATCCTCTCCTTGTACAAATGTCAGCGTGGTGTCCCGAGGGTCATAACATTTCTCTCCAGTTGTTCCTCTCCTGATGTCTTTACTCTCCTCCTCTCCATTCATGAATCTGCTTCTCAGCTCTTCAAAGTTATGAGCCTTCTCTTCAGGTGGCAAACGCCTGCTTTGTTGAGAGTCATGACTCCTCTGCCCCACAATTATGAATCTGTGTCTAAGTCGCTGAAAGTCATATCTCCTCTCCTCTAAACGTGCCATGTGTCTGCTTTGTTGAGAGACATGACTCCTCTCCTCTAAATGTATGAACCTCCTTCTCAGGTCTTGGAAGTCATAACTTATCTCCTCTTCAGATTCTTCTCTGTTTTGCAGAGCCATCCCTCCTCTGTGTGCAGTGTTAGGGCTCCTCTCTGCCTGTCTTCACTCAGTGTATCCACGCTCTCCTCTGACAGGTGACTGCCCTGTCTGCACAGGTAAAGAGGAGGGCGGTTCGTCTTCCTTAAGTCATGTGATATTAAGGCGAGGCAAACCCTTTATATACTAAACCTGATATCGATGAGGCTACATTAGAATCATCTATCCCTACACACAGCCGGCAGTCTTCACTGAACCGATGCAGCAGCCAAATGGTTATTCAGCTGGCTGTACACGACCCCAAAGGAGAGGTGAAGGTCGTTGATGTGTGCAAGAATGCAAAGGACTTTAAGAAGAATTTTCACCCAGAATCTGATGACTGGCCAAACACTTGCGTATTAAATACAATAATTGTGGTTGGGAAAAAAAATGGAACCATGTTTTATTTGCTTAAACTGTTTGCACATGTAAGTAAACATTAATACACAAAAGGCTGAAACTGATTAGAGTTGAATCCTACAGTAATTAAAGTTGGTGAGGGATCCTCTGAATCAGATGACAATCATTTTTGTGTTCTGTGTTTTTATAGGAGTGACTGAATTTGTTAAGAGGTGTTAAATGTTGGTACCAAATCAGGCTGAACCACAAAAACATGCTTTATATTTACTCTGGAAATATAAAGAAAGTCCAAGTCATTGTAAACCATGACTGAGTGTTTGATTTGCACTGAAGGAAGTTTTCTTCTTTTACCGGTTAGTTTTTTGGACTTAATACACGGAACATGTGCTTCATTAATGTCAAGCAGGTGGTTTTCTATTTTTAGTCTATGCTTCCTTGAAAAGATTCAAAGTCAGTAATTAAATGTGTCAGTCACTGAGGTTTGTCACAGTCAATACTGGCACTTGTAAACTAATCAAAATGATGGAGCAGCATCTTGAATTGGGTTTACCCTGTAACTACCCAAGAGTCACTGTGGTCACCTTAATTACATCAAACCACAGAGAGACATATCCCTCTGTGGAATTATTCATAACCTTGGATGCAAGGAGTCACAATGTGTTCGTGAGAAACACTGAATGTGACGTGATTTATGTTAAAGAATCAAGCTAGTGTAATTAGCACAAAGCAAATTAGCAATATAAATTAAATAGAATAAGGGGTCTAAGAACAGACCCCTGTGGTACATCACCAAACTGTGCCATTTCAGATGTCCATAAATTAACATTTACATATTACTGCAGAGCACCTTAATATCCTCTTGTTTGAGGAATCAAGGATTTCTACAGAAGCTAGAGTTCTTCCTATGACTTCCTACTGATCAAAACACTTTTTGATCAGCAGGGGAAAGTGCAAGTACCTGAAAGTAGTTCGACAACATTCTCTGAAAACAAGAACAAGGATATGGTTATAATATTCAGTCAGTGATTGGAAAAGAATCAAGTGCAAAAATAATTGTGCTGCATGCTGGTGATGGGCAGGAACAAATATGTAGAATGACCTGATTCCTCTTGCTGTCAATTCCAAACCAAACATGCTGCCTCTACACTGTATCTGACTTTAGGACTGTTCTCACCATGGTTTGTTGTGTGCTGCTGTAGTTGCCAAAATCCAAAAATCAAACCGTTTTCATGCACTAATGTAATATCATACTCAGATTCATACTGGAAAAGACAAAAGGAAATAGAAAACTGCAAATTTTTAGCAAAGCAGAATGAGTTTTGGTAATGTTTAGTCATTTAAATTAGACACTTCCTTAGTTACTAATTATAGATCTAATGCTGTCTAAGAGTTCCTAAAACATAAAATCAGGCTACCATAATATTTTCTATAATTTCCAACATCAGTTTAAGATAATGGACCTTGTGCAGGAAGCGATATAGGATCAAATTTATTCAAACCACCAGTACATTTTTATTTATCTTTATTACACAGAAAAAACAATATTGTTACATCAGAAGAATAAATAGGCTACATGATCACAAAATAAAACAACGATAAATCAATTAAAATTAAATTGAGTAAAGACATTGTGCAGATCAGAATGAATGCATACTTTAACAATGAGATGACAGTAAACATGACTCCTACAGAAAAAGAATACACATAGTTTTAAATATGACTATAAATATTAACTCTGTAAATGTTCACTACAATTTTGGGTTTACAGCAGAAATTGTCTGTGTAAATGTTTAACTGTGAACAGAAGGAAGTGATTCTCATGTGACACTGTGCCAAATCTTACAAAGTAGCCCTGTCTTAGTCTGTAAGTCTTATATACAGCTGGCATGACTTCCTGTCTGAGTAATAAAAGTGATGATGATTATCAAGAAGAATTGCAGGATCATGTCCTCTGCCACACAGGTATAGAGGTCTGTCTCGGTGCGACACCACTGGGGCAAAGTTCATAAAATGAAGATATGTTTTCAACATCCGCACACTCTTTAGTGAGCTTCAGACACACAAAACAGAACTCCACCTTACACCGCACACAGTAAACATTTTTACAGTAAGTTCTATTATGCTCCACCAGAACACCACAGGTGGGACAGGCACGGATGGAGGGACAGCCAGTGACCCCCTCCACATCCTTGAAGGTGATATCTGGGCAGTTTCTCAGTATTTCCAGTGGGTCTTGGCAGTCTGTATTCCCACAGCGGTCTGAACGTGGAGCTGGTCCTTTCCACTTCTTCAAACACTGCCAGCAGAACTGATAAGCCCTTCTTCTCCTCGCTGTGCACACTGGGCACTGGACACTGAGATCATGGAGGTCAGTTCTCATCACACGAGACTGGCATCCAGGACACTGAGGAGTGACGTTAAAACACAATGAGATGTTTTTACATTCAAACGCTGTATTCACAACAACCAGAGGCGGTCCTGGCTAGTTTTACGCCCTGGGCGAACCATCCCTCGGCCGGTAAGCCGTTATCTTGCGCCGCAGAGCACTATGAGCCTCCGCCGTATTCCTGTCTGTGACCCCCGTTCAACCCACAACCGCCAGGATTCGCCTTTCCTTTCTGCTGCTGGTTGAAACGTGATAATAGGGGCGCCCCAGCGCCCACTCCACTAACTTGACGTGAAAATGAGCGGTAGTCTAGAAAACTGCTGAGTTTTGGGTTTTTTTTTGGTTTTTTTGGAGGGCACTCGTGCGCCCTCACATAGATTGCACCCTGGGTGGTCTCCCACATTGCCCATAGCAAAAACCGTCCCTGACAACAAGCAACTATGATTTCTATCAACAGTTTTGAATAATGTAACTGAGATACTCACCACTTTGACATCCAAGAAAGTCTCTGCAGCGTTGCTGAAGATTTTACTTTCAAAGTACTCAGTTTCTTCAGGGGTCAGAAGAGCCATTTTACAAACCTCCTCAAAGGGCCACTCAGCATCACAGTCAGTCTGGCCACACACAAATTTGCACTCACCCTTTAATATTATAAAAATCAAAGAGAAAAGTTTCAGAGTGGGAAAATGATTGGTTAATGTGTTTCTTCTATCAGCTAAGTTATATTCTGTCTTCTTTTTTTGTCTATATTTTTAACCTCCTGTAAAGTACACATGCTGCCACTATGCAGAAGTTAGTCACTAAAACATGTTTGAGTTTTATGATGAAGGGAATGTGATGACGTCATTAGTGTACCTTCTCCAGCAAACAGAAACACCAGATGGTGAGAGACATTGGAGTGACAGCATGACCACAGGACATCTTTGCTCTGAGAGACTTGAAGTCATGACACAAAACTATGAGACACACAAACAAGAAACGATGTGCAGCGTTACAGGCTGTAAAGCATAATCAGTAAGAACTTTTTTAACAAAATGTTTATTCAAATTTGAATTATACATTGCTATTATGTCAGGAAATAGTGAGAAAAAAAATAGTCGAACATACAAATTATTAATCATGGCAACATGTACATCCACATAAAGAGTCGCGAAGACCCCCCACCTTTAATCAATTGGTATAGCCAAATTATAAAATGAAATGACATGAAATAAAGTAAAATGAAATAGAACAAAGTGAAATAAAATGAAAAGAAAGATAATAAAAGTAATTTAAAATAAAATGAAATGACATGAAAAAATAAAATGAAATAAAGTAAAATGAAATAAAATAATGTAAAATAAAATGAAATGAAATAAAGTAAAAAGAAATGAAATGAAATAAAGTAAAAAATAAAGTAAAATGAAATGAAATTTAAAAAGTAAAAAATAAAGTAAAATGAAATAAAGCAATGTAAAATAAAATGAAATGACATAAAAAATAAAATAAAATAAAGTAAAATGAAATAAAGTAATGTAAAATAAAATGAAATGACATAAAAAAAATAAAGTAAAATGAAATAAAATGATGTGAAATAAAATGAAATGACATAAAAAAATAAAATAAATTAAGTAAAATGAAATAAAGTAATGTAAAATGAAATGACATAAAAAAATAAAATAAAGTGAAATAAAGTAAAAAAATAAGGTAAAGTGAAATAAAATCATGTAAAATGAAATAAAATGAAATAAGAAATGCAATAAAGTAAAATGAAATAAAATTATGTAAAATGAAATAAAATAAAATAAAATCAGTTTTGGCCAACTTCACAATTAAATCAGTACAGCACCTTATGACTTTGGTAATCTAAAATATGTAATTACAGGAGCCCTGTCTATCTTTAACTTGTCTCGCCACTGAGGGAGGGTGGGGGCAGTGGTTTCAGCCAAGATAGAGTTATCTCTTTTTTTTTTGACACCAATAAAAGAATATGCAGCAACTAAACCTTCAAATTCAATAGGCCTATAAATAAAAAAAAATATCTATGCATGCTTTGAAAATGTGAAACG